CTTCAGCATGTGCGTGGAGCAGGTTCGGCAGATTGGGCAGCAACCGGTCAACATTTTGTCCTAGTGCCTGAATGGCTTTTTAAACTTTAATTTGTACTTCCAAAATTGTTTCTAGGTAAATATATAGACTTATAGTAGTAAAGCTGTATGTATGAATCAGTATAACAATGCAAAATAAATTACTTGTGCAATCTGCAAGTGTACATGCTTGTGCTTGCTTATAGCTCTAACGAGTATAAGTGCCAGTGAGCACCTATTTTTGTGAATCATAAGTGCTTGCAAATTATTCAATCTCAGAGCATCTATTTTGAAACTTTTTCCTGGTGGGGCATGTCCCTAGACCCCTCTAGCACTGGCATGCTTAGCATGCCAAAGTGTACATTGAACACTATTCTGAATTGCCTGACCAATCAAAAATGCTTCCTTTATCCCTGTTTAACCTATGAACCTTAAGTTAGTGGGAATTACAAGACTACTCTGAGGGAAAACTGTAAGTTGAAAATACCAATAATGAAATAACTCCCAAAGTGAAAGGTCGTAATAGTAAACAGTTAATGGTGCTGCTTATTTAAAGGGACAAGCTTTAGCAACATTAAGCAACCTTCCTAACATCTGTCAAGCATTGGTGACTGCCTTATCAAACAGGTTTGAAGTGGTACACCAGAAGAAAATATCCAAAGTAAATTTCAGGAGTAGAGTACAGAGAAAATATGAGAGGTTAATCAAACTTGCCTTATCTAAATACACCACATAAAGTGATGAATTTGTTGATACATTACCAATTCATAGACACTTTATTAAATGAGGAATATGAAAATCACGTACTTACAGTAAGATTGTGCAACTGAATATCAATAATTGTCATGATTACTACCCTTAAATCTAACTATTAGTTATTAACTAATTACTGATTACTAATGTTTTACTATGTTTCGACCGCTAATCTGTTGTCGTCTTCGGGAAGTTCTAAGAAGGAGTATTTTCTGTTAGTAGTGGCTAAGATTTGATCTTGAGTTTTAATAATGGAAACCTGGTATGATATCCATTCGACTGGAGGGCTCCCTGTTAGAGATTGAATCAACTAGTTGAGTGTTTTCAAGAAGGGTATCTAGGTTTTGCTCACTTCTATGGTAGGTTGACTGAGTAGGTTTTCAGTTAAGTGGATGTAAAAAGCTTATTTTGTCATTTTTTAATCTCACATGTGATTCATATTAAATTATATTATATTATTCTAATTTATTGCATGGTTCTCTTCTCTGGCATGATGAGCTTATTGCAGATAGATTGTTATTATCGAGTCGTGTATGTCTATTATGTTCTCGAATTCTAACTTTTGTTGGATTTCTTTTTCTTTTTTTGCTTCTCCACTGTATTTATATCCACATTCACGGAAGAGGCTGTAAGTGGTGTTTTTGTCTCGCCATTGTGTCTTTAGATGGTTTGGTGTTGATAGTATTTATCTTTGAGTTAAAGAATAAATTGTGCTGCCACAGAAGGCTGTGAGCTCTATTATTATGGATAATGTCGGTTCGATGCGTTACTTAAGAGATCTGTTATTTTTAAACTGTTGGCAGAGTACTTGCAGTGTGTCATGGGATGGTCCATTAGTGAAGAGGTTGGATATGTCAAAGCTGATCATTGTGCCTTGTGAGGTTATCATAACTGCTTTCATAATCTCTAATAAGTGGGCCAAGTTTTTGGCATGTGGAAATGCTTTACCTTTTAACGGTAATCTGGCTAAGTGGTTACATTGTGAGTACCTACAGTTGGCTTTGGGCCAAACAAAGTAACCTTGTTTAGTGAACCTTAGATAAATGGTAGATACATGGGTTGGTGCTGTTATGTATTGTTAGTTGTTTAACTGTTTCTTTTACAAGTTCTCTCTGATATTTCTGGAAAGTTGGTTAATTATCTTCTTTGTGTTAACATTTGAGTGTGACTTGATATTTGTGTAATGGAAATCTTCAACTATATTGGGGTTTGCTGGAATATTCCTCTTTGACCATGGTTACAGTGGTATACCCTTTGAGTTCTGGTAGAATTGTTATGGAGTTTTCTTTCTTACATTTATGAGGGCAGTTGTTTCTGATATGGTAGAATTATAGTGTAGTTTAATCTTAAGGCTTTCTGGACTGCTGACTTTATTTCTATTCTAAATTCATTTTTGGTAGGCTGTAAACCGTGTCTTTTGTAGTCGTAGCTATATCTAGGATAGGTAATGTGTTTAGTGTTAAGGCAAAGTTTAATCCTTTCTTCAAGTTCTGTTAAGGCTCGTTTACTTAAGTTAATTAGTGTGGATTTAGATATGCATAGGTTAAAAGGCTTCTTGTTTTCAAATACAAGTGAATTAATTTTCTTTATATGTATTTCTTTAGTATGTGTATTTGTGTGTTGGCATGGCGTTTGAATAGTTGAGCATATCTTGATAGAGCTTATATTGTCTGTTGTATTATTTATTTTATGATATATATATTGTTAAAGTTATTCTGTATCTTATCTTTGTCTATATGGTAATATTTGATCCTAATTTGGAGCATGGCTTAAGTAACTTTGACACTGTGAGGTATTGATACTTAATTTAGCTTTAAGTCCTCCAAAATAATTGTTTGCATTTATGGAGAAAAGTGGGGTGGTTCTTTATTTTAACTAATTTACAATTAAGTTTTTCTAAATTCTTTACAAAGCTTGGGTCTTTAGTGGGTTATTAAGTACTTACGGTAAAGTTATGGTGATTGTGTATAAAACATTTTCAAGTTAATAACCTATATAATCACTTAAGTATAATCATTAATCAGTAATGTTTTATAATTAGATATTAATTACTAACTAGTTGTTATCCTATATTTTGACAACTAATCTGGCACTAATCATCAATTAGAATTGGACTTGGATGGTCGTAGTGGCTATTAATCATAACAATAACATGCAAATTAAGCTAAAAGTAGATGTACATTTTTAACGGAAATTTTACAGTTGCCAATGAAACCTGAATCAATTAAAATAGCAGATATAAACTAAAATCACAATCCAAATATTATAGGATCATCAGATCAAGTAGTCTGGAAGCATCAACTACCTCTGATCAAAGTCTTGAAAAAATCAAAGGATTAATCAGACAACTGTTTACTTATAACCGAGGAAGTAAACCACAAAACAACAAGCGATTCAACAATAAGTTAAAATGACATATTGTCAGGAACTGCAAACAGAAATCTATAGGAAATAAAGAACTCATCCTCCTAGTGGAGGTCAGAAAGAGAGAATTGCTATAAGTTAGGGACATGGACATT